GGTAGCAGTTCGAAGGCCCCTAAACCAAAGCAATCCATACATAGTCAAACCGGGTCAAATGATGGCTCCGTGAATCAGCCCAAATACAACAACTCCACTCACGGTGCACATGAACCAGAAGAAAATTCTACATCCAGTGCATGTTCCACCACTCCTATGGATTACACGCATGATTGGCCATGGAATTAGCCTCGTCACTATATCCTCCCCTTCTATGATTGTTCTTGTTTCAGTGGTGTCTCAGTATGTTAGGTGTGGTTGGTTGTGCGTTTAATTTTCATTTACTATTATGTTTGTTTTATGGTTACTTCATGTTTCTTTTGTGCGTTCCGTAGTTGTTCCACGCGTCTGGTCTTCTGTATGGTTATGTGCGTTCTGTAGTTCTTTTATGTTTTAAGGCAAATGCAGATGTGTTTGTATTATGTATTAGGCATGGTGTTATGTATTAGTCTGGTCTTCTGTATGGTTATGAAGGATATGGAGGCATAATCTACGTTTCTTGTTTTATGTACCATTTATGTGTTATGTACCATGTTTAATGATTATACATGTTATGTAAGAATGAAAAATATGTCATTATAGCCATATTATAGAAGTTACCAGTTAAACACAAATAAACCATAAAAATGTCTTAATAAACCTAGAATTATCCTAACACCCACGTCTTACATAATTCCCAACCAAATACCAAATATTCACTGCCGAAAAGTGTTAAAATGTTTGTCGTTCAAATACATGCTACACACAAATTTTTACCAACCTAAACCAAGGACATCTAAACGCAATCAATGTAAAGACCCACTCCGAATCCTACACAACGCCATTTTCTTCAAAGAATTGGCGCATATCGCCATCTTTCAGCCGCCTCTTACCATGAGATCGATCTATATGCATCGAATATGTATCCCCCTTGAACATAAGCACTGCACGGTCTATCTCTGGAACCTATCCTTCAATATGTGCATTCCAAAATTGCATTGGTATTGGCTTTACAGCAAAAAAAAAATAAAATAAATATTAAATACGATAATATTTTATTAATTATGCAACAACAATGTTGACGAAAGCTATAATTGTAAAACATGAAAGCAATCACTTACCAAAAGAGCACGCTCCACGTGAGTTTTTTTTTTTTTTATTTTGATGCTAAACCGGTTCTGTAGAGGCCTATCTATATCATTACAAGTGTAGACCTTCACATTGAAGGTTCTAAATTCATCCCGTTCAAAATACAAAAAGTACCCCTGACGTATATCCTCTGATTGAACGTAACGTTGTCATCCATTTGCAAAATACAAACTAACCCTTGGGTCGTATACATTTGGACCTCGAATTTTGCAAATGTCCATTGGGTAGCGACGACCTTCAACAGTTATTAGAGTAACTGGAAAAGGCATCACATGTCTCCCAAAGTAACATTCCGCTTCATCAATGCCCTACGAAAGTTCATATTTCACCTTGTCATTATTTTTTTTTTATTTTTTTTAGTTTTGAAGTTTTTTCTTTCAATTTTTCCATTTTTTTTTTCGTTAGCTTTTTTCATGTTTTTAAGTTTAACTTACCATGATGGGGTAGTCTGACATGTCCATATATACGTAGAAACACCACCATGGCGGGCTTTCGTTGTACGTAGCCATAGTGAACCTGCAACGAGCGATATAGCATAAAGAATAAATAAGCTGAAGAATACCAACAAATTTCATTGAACGTGCAATGCAAAACAAGTATACCATTACAATGGAATACATGGTCACCATTCTAATAAAGACAATACCAGTTCATACCGTTCACATTTTATACATGTCCCAAAAACCACAAACCCATTCAAAAATCCCAACAATTCAAATATTTCGCAACAACCACAAAACTACAAAACCACAAAACCAACAATAACAGTTCACACAGTTCAAAAGTCATAAAAGGACAACATAACGAGACACAACGATTTCCCATAACCAACACTATCCCCGACCATCTCGGATGACCCTCACCATGAGTGCCCTATCATCTTCCCCATGCCCAAAAACAAAGCAAGCTCCCTCGCATTGTTGCACAAACGCAGGCATATCACCATTCGCTCCTCACCGGCATCATTGCCCGGGCCATGGGAGGGCCGCGTGGTCTGCGATGGGATCTCATCGTATTCTTCGTACGGCGGGTCCTGTTGTACATCCTGCGCTGCGTCTGCAAAAGACTGGGCATCACCACCAGAGGCTCTGTCTTTCCCGATGATGACCTCCCAATCATCGAATAGGGGAAAGACTTGTTCCTCAGTCCCTTCGCATTAGGATCGACCTATTGGTGATAAGTTGGGACAAAAAAAAAAGAAAGAAAATGTAATGAGAATATGTGAATTATGTGAAATATTATAGACGACTCAAGAGGTGGATTTTTAAGCAAACCTTCATCAACGATTGGTACTTCTCATCGTCACAGGAGAAGCTTTTTGAGACATCATTCCAACCCAAACCCGATTTATTTGATTTTATATTGGCCAAACTCGCATAAGTTTTCTTCCAGACATGCATTTTGGAAGTTATGTGCGGGTCAGCACGAATTTCACATCCGGGAAGAAATGTCTTCATCTTTTTCTCCAACTGAAATGCATAGCCCGTTCTGAAGCCGTTTTCCGTTTTCCAACCCTCAGTTACAATATCCTTTAGAGCATTAATTAGGGCGTTCTCTTCAGCCGATGTCCACACACGGCGTTTAGAAGTGGCGCCGCCCTCTTTTCCGGTACCCGATGTGATTGATGGTTCCATGACAATTTTGCTGTAGGAACAATAATGTTGTAGCAATAATGTTGTAACAAAATGATATGCTACACAAGAAAATATATAGGAAATACTCAAAACACAATATTTTAATGTCAAATTGTATAATAAACAACAAAAGATAATTTAAGAACATTTGTCAACATTACTTAGTAACTAACATAATCTTATTGAAAGTACACAAAAATAAGTTAGTTTATCTAGTAGGGAATACCGCCCTGCCATTATGTGAACATTTTTTTGGGCTAATAGATCGCGCTTCTGGGTCCATTTGGGACTACATTCAACTTGATCTATGTAGACATCGTCAGACGGTGGGTTCGAAGGTGTCGGGAATTCTGGAATCTCATTCTCAATGGGGTCTTCGGGCATTGTTGTACGTATAAAATTATGAATAAGCGCGTACGCCATGATAATGCGATTTTGGGTCCTAATGGGGTAGAAAGAGTTACTTCTGAAAATTTCCCAATGCATTTTTAGAATGCCAAAAGCACGATCAATCGCGTTCCTAGCTTTGGCATGCCGAAGGTTGTAGAGTTCTCTACAATTTTGTGGAGTACGGGACCCTGTACTCCATTCATCTAAGTGATATCTAACACCCTTATATGGCGATAGAAAGCCAGCACCATTTGTGTAACCACCATCCACCAAATAATAGTGTCCTGCATTATAAACGATTGTGTTATGTTTGATTTAGTGTTTTACGGGTGGATGTTGTTTAAACTATTTATAATAAATAGAGGGAATACCATTTGGGACTCGGAGAGAATTTGCCCTAGTGATTGCATCTCTCAGTACCCGATTATCAGCAGTAGACCCCTCCCAGCCACAAAGCATGTAGACGAAGTTCATATTTCTATCGCACACCCCAAGTACATTAACTGATACTTGACCCTTTCGATTTCTATATCTTCCCCTATCTTTTGATGGGACTCGGACGTTAATGTATGTACCATCTAGTGCTCCTAGACACCCCTAATGAACAAAAAAAAAAAAATAGTATTAGTTTGGACGAAGTAGAAAAGAAAAAATTGACAAATGGTTGGTAAGGGTCTTGTATTGTAGGCTACCTTGAACCATTTCCACCGTGCATCTGAACAATCATCCTCAACTGGCTTAGGTGTGGCGACTAGGACGGTGTGAAGGCGGATTACCGCATCAAGTACGCGGTTAAAATACTTGTTTACAGTTCTACCTGATCTTGTAAAATCAAACTTCAAGGTGACATTTTTCTTGTGATGTGCAAGGATTGAAAGAAACATAGCAACTTGTTCACTCGGTGCAACGTTTCTAGATTGAACAAGACCCCCTAAATTTTCAAGGAGGAAACACAGCCGACCAAAACAATTTCTGTCCATACGGAGGTTCTCAAGGCAAGTGGTGTCGCTGACATCGACTAGCCTTTGCATATGACTCACTTGAAGGGGCACTCTATCCCTCAATCGGTATGTGAGTCTGCTAGTCAATGAAGGTCGACGGTGGTGAGGGAGTATGAATTTGTGGTAGTAGTAATTAGCGACTATGAAAAAAAAAACGAGCACCAAGAACAATCTCTTCCAAAAGAGTGAGAATTGGTAATTTGTCTCGCACGTTATCCATCTACAAAGATTGAACAACATACGGGCAAACTTACGACACCTATACTCCGATGAGAAAAAAAAACCAAAACGAAACGTTGTACACATAACATACACTAAAAATATGCTATTAATTCAGAATAAAACTAGAGCATACTTATTAACCCTTATTAATACAATCATCATGCTTATTTTCTCGAACGTTATAAATCTACAAAGATTGACTGGGAAATAAGTACTTCACATTGTTAGTGAACATAATGCACATCAAATATTGAACTACAATTATGAACACCCATGTACATAACAAATCGTATTCAGCACATGCAACACACAAACTGAGCAGCAAATATTCATACTGGACTCTTTTAAGGCATGCTAATGCATTTAAGCAGGCTAAACTATCAAAACTAGGCATAAACATGACACTCAAATCCGTTTTAAGAACGCAGCATTAAAAAACATGAAAGAACTGTTGGAACCCATGAGGATCTCGATATGCACAAATCACAGACAAACATTCAACATAAACCTATGCGCAGCGGATCTAAAGGCTCGATGAAGAAAACTTACTGCTTAAAATTTATATAGATCTGGCTGGCCCGAACAGT